TCGACACCATTCCCCAAATTATTTGGCCCAACTAATTGAATGTGGGTGCAAATATAATTTATCTTGTTCCTCACTAAGCCTCCCCCAAATGTCAAAATATCATTGCAAACCTGTAATTTTACCAAAGCCGTTATTTTTCAAAAGTATTTTCTGAAGAAAAACTAGTCTTTGTTTATTCATCTTTTTAAAAAATATTTTCTAAAAAACAAACTATTCTTTGTTTATTAATTTTTTCTTGCCCAACAAAAATTTGAGCAATTTCTAAAGCGAAATGTACCACTGTGCGCTCGCGCGTGTAGACGAGCCATGATGCAATAATCATTTACATATTTTTCTGTTTAATGCGAGCTGTTGTCTATTTTTTATTGTCTTGGCTTGTTGGTTTTGTTGTTGTTGCGCCATTCTTGCTGACATATCATCATTGCGCTCCCACTGACATTTTATATTATATGTAAGTCTCTATATATATATATAAATATATATACTTGTACACACATGTGTGTGTGTGTGTGTCGCAGTCATGTGCAATTTTGCTTTTGTCAAGCGCTTACAACAACAACGAAAAGCTCGCTTGTTGGCGCACAGCTGTGGCTAGTCTGGCTCTTGCCAAGTTTTGCGCCACCACCCGCTGGCATTTACATATGTATGTACAAGCATGACATACATACATATACATATACCATATATGTACATACAACATACGCACACATATACCATATACACAATACATATGTACATCTACATGTCTCCATTATTTAATCCTTCGTTTGCGCTGAACGTCTGTTCGCAATTAAAACAGGAAAAATAACAAAATATGGCACACAAAAGAAATTTGCTGTAAAAACAGCAGTAACAACAACAACAACAACAACGAAAACACAAAGCGCACCGCCGCTGTGTCTACTAAAATTTCACCTTCGCCTTGTCGAACCGAGCAGAATGTATTATAAATCTCGCTGTATGCGCGTCAACCCGCTTATTCGCCCGCTTGTCAGCTCGCTAGCTTGACATATTGTTGCTTACGGTTTGCACATTTGTTGCTATCGTCACCCATTGCCACAAAGCGTTGCATGAAATCATACAATTGCACATGCATATGAGCTAGCTGTTCCTAATACGGTGCAAAATGTTTGTGTTTGTTTTCGTTGTTGTTGCTGCTGCTGCTTCTTCTTCATTTTTTTTTTCATATTTTTTTTTTGCTTTTCCACATTATTGTAATTTTTCAACGACTGTTGCTAACGAAAGCGCTATTGCGACTGAGGGTCCCGCTATTGTGGTTGTTGTGACACGTCGTTATGTAGTCGTTTTTTGTATTGTGTTGTTGTTGTTGTTGCAAAGTATGTCTTTGTGATTTTTGCTTAGGCTTATTGCCAATACAGTGAACGTACTGCAGTGAGCTATGCTAAACTGCATTTATGCACATGTGAAGAAATATTCGCACACATAGCCATACACACATACACGTATACATTATGTACATATAACTATATATTACAATGCTGCATGTTTAAGTAGGCAGGTTGCAGGGAGAGCGCATAGATAGCAGCATACTCTTGCTTAATATGAAATACTCGAGGATGTGTGCGCTCGTAAGTGGCGCTTCTGTGGCAGGAGTTGCTGGTCAAACGCTCTGTAATAGTCAACACACACATAGATGCATACATACATACTCACATACTGAGCGAAACAGCGGCTATTAATACACGTAATTATCGCAGTTAAAGGAAAAGAAGAGCAAATAAAAGAAGACAAAGTATTGCTTATAGCTTTGCACAAGCACGGCAATAAGAAATCACAACAACAACACGAGTACACTTAAGCAAATTTATCAAGAAAAATTTCTCATATTTATCAACGTGGCAGCAATTTGTTTATTTGTGTTTTTTTTGCCTGAAAGCAGTCTAATATGTGTAATGAAAGCAGCTGTTTTTTTTTACACACCCTAATGTATATATATGTATGTAAAAAGACTGGCATATATGTATTAACATGTATATAGTCATGAGGCATTGACATCAAATTCGTTCGTGTAAAACATGGTCGTACGTCTGTCCGTCAAAAAAGCTGACGACTGCTTGTTTGTTGTAATTCCTATCTAATAAGGTGCTGCAATAAAGCTTAACTTGCATGGCTTTCATTTGCTTCAGTTTACCTCACATTTATTCCATATTTGCTATATGTTTTTCCAGTTCAGCTCAAACGACTGCACGCTGTTGCCAACTGCCCAATAAATATTTACTATATATACTTGTATTCATGCAAACATATATACGCCGTTGCAATTGTTTTGAACGTGTTAGGAAGAGAAATTTCTCGCATTGTTCGCATTTTGTTAGCAAACAATATTTGTTTCACCAAATCGGTTTTATAAACAAATATGAAAACCTTCATAAGTTGCTCTATAAATGTAACCGAATTAAACTGAATTTGTATAAGAAATTAAGAAAACAAGATTTTGAGATTTTTTTCGTGTATTTTATAATTATTTCTTAGATTTCATAACGTTTAAAAAAGAACACTTGGTTCATATACAGTATTGTTAAGAAAAGCATCATTTAAAAAAAAGCATCAACCAACTTAAGTGCTTTTAGAAAATGTTGATTTTTCAATTATTATTTGTGTTATTGTATATTATATACAATTTATTATAAAAATATTTGTTCAACAATGGTTATAAAATATCTCTGTTAGATATTATCATTATCGATCGTATGATTTTTCCATAACCTTAATTCTCAAGCTTCAAAACTCTTAAAATTTGTCTTCATGCTTTTATCTTACTCGTTCTAAGCCTATTTAAAAGCTAAAAATTCAAAAAAATCTATTTTTTTCATATTTTCAAAGTTTAACTATTTAAGAATATGTCTACGTGAGATTTTTTGAAAATTTAAATTATTTTCGGAGATATAGACATTTTACTTACCCGGCCTTCAAACTGGTTTGGCTGCGTCTAATCGAACAAAATAATTTACGCGAAACTTTAAATGCCTTTCTCTCAGTGAGTAAAAGTTTTAATAATAAAAGCACTCTACTGCTGGCTTTAAACTATTAGAAAACTGATGAAGACTAATTTAGTTTTTTTTAATACAAATAACTCACTTTTTACGTTGTAGACAATTTATTCATACTATTGCATAACCTTAAGATTTCCAAAATGAAACCAATTCCTCTGATTTATAAAAAATGTCATAAATTTTACGCTTTTTAAAAATCTATAAACAATTTTTTTTTGCGTTTGAGTAATCTGTACATATTTTTAGACTTTTATACAAGTTATTTATCCTTATTAACAATATATATACAATATATACATAATTATCTACACTACCGACCAGCATTGTCTTAAAATAACCCACAACTGGACCAGTTCTTAAAACACCTAACCTCAAGCCACTCTGCCACTATGCACATGTTACCTAACCCTCAAACTCTCAACACGTAATCTGACATACATATCCACTCTACGCTTATATGTAAAATGCAATGTGCTATGTCTGCATGGGTGTGAGTGCGAGCGAATGTGAGTTAGAATGTAATGTAAGTGCACGCTCATCTTCACTTTCAATATTTACACAAACACACTTGCATAGTCATGTAATTGCACATGCACACACACACACACGTACATACATGGCAATGAGTATGTGCAACAACAACAACAAGTAAAGCGAGTAAATAAATGTTAAAGCAAACGAGCAAATGTCACGCTAGCACGTCGGAGACACGCAAGCCAAGAAAGAACGGCTGATTTCCAGCTGTGTTGCCAGGCGATTTCGTCTCATCCCCACTGTTGTTGTGCACAAACCAGCATATATGACACGCTTACACAACTTACACTGGCACATTGCACTTGTTGTACAAACAACAAGTCAGCTGTTTTGAGTAAACAGCTGTTCCCCTGCACTAACTGTAGCAACGTTGGCGGCTCTCGGCTTTCTATGTGTGTGTGTAAATGCAGCGCCTGTGCTTAGCGCGCTGTTAACTGTCTCAGCAGAGCGCGTTAACAGCGCTGGTCTCTGCAAACGTGTCTAACTTACAGCATACTGTTAAACGCTATTCACGGCTGTGAGACCGCAAGTGTGCTATGTATAGGTGTTGTTGTCATGTGTGCATTCTGCTCTTTTCACTTTCGCTTATAGTCAGCTGTTGGCTGTTTGGGTTTTTACTTTATTTCTAACAGCTGTTATGCGCTGCTGTACATAATTAGGGGATTGTGTTTTGAGCATGATTACTGCACTGTAGTTTATTTTGAGGCATGTAAATAAAAGCGCTGTTACTGCGACCTTTGGACACTCCTCTGCTGTGCAATAACAGAATGTTGGAGAATGGGTTGTGTGTCGGCGCACAGCTGTTTATTATTTACATTTATGTACCATATATATATATACAGTGCTATGTATAGGCTATGTAAGTGAGAAAGTAACCGGCCGGTGTAATGTGCGCATGCTGACTTGAAAGTACCGTGGAAAATTTATCAAGTGAATTTGGTAGCGAAAAAGACGAATATTGACAATTAACAGAAAATTTATGCTGTAAATTTGCAATCAGGCGCAACGGTTTAGTGATTTGTGTCGGTAGTAGAAGATTTGACGAACTGTAAAGTGCAATTATTATTTGGCGTATTACGGTTGTGCTGCGAGAAGCGAGCTCAGATGACAAATTTCGTAGCAACTCCACATATGCCAGCTCACACGCCTTTAGCGACAATTATGTCTTGTCGACAACGCTGTATGTACAAAAATATATGCCATATTGTATCCACATATATATATGTGTGTTTATATGTAGAAGCAGAAGCAGGCAGCTAAAATCGCTTACTCCATTAATTTGGAGTGCAAGTTTCTCATAGAACGCTGCCGGCTTTAAGCATGCCACCTACTAGCAACCGATAATATTTTCATTTTAATTCTAATTTATATTTTGAATAAACAAAGCAACTTGTCAATTGCCTGCAAAAGAAAATCTAATGAATTGTTCTCTTCTCCGCTTTCAATCGATAGACTGGGCGAGTCCGCTAACGCCACCACCACCAACAACACAGTTGCCAACAGGCAACAATACAACCAGCGACAACGTTGTGCACAATCAACGCAACAACAGCAACAACCGAAGCTTAAGCTATAAACAACAAGCGAGCACAGAAGAGGACGAAGCGGAGCAGCCAGCGCTGCTGCTGTATGCTGAGGACGCCGTAGAGAGCGGTGACATTGTGGATGGCGTCAATTGGTCAGCGCCACAGAAGCAAGCACACCACAATCAAACAAATCATCACGAGCAGCGACACCAACACTTCTATTATAACAATCACCATTACGGTGGCGCTCAACACAACAACCAACAATATCATCAACATCACCACCAACACCACTACAATCACTTGGAACAACACGACAACAATTACCACCATTATCAAAAGGAACAGCAACAACAAAAACACTATAGTGAACAACAAAAACGCGCAACACAAGAGAAGCAAAAGCAAAAAACAGCGCCAACCAACAATAGCAAGCAAACGGCTATGGAGGCCACTTACAACAACAATCTGTTCTACTATGAACCACCAGTAGCGGCCGGCATCACACCGACAGGCTCACCAACATCGGGCAGTTGTTTCGGCAGCGCCACTACCGATGTGGACATAGCCGCGGTCAATGAGCTGGCGCAGCGCGTGCAGACGGAGCTGCGTGACGCGAAGAAGCGCCACTTGGACTGCACCGAAGTTTCGCTGCCATATGATCTCATGCCGCGCATTGCGGCCGAAATAATTAAGGCTTCGGAGCGGGAACCGTGTGGCGTGCGCGGCTGTTCGCTATACATCGATTTTGAATGCGAACCGAGCAATGTGAGGTGAGCGCGCTACAAATAAAATTTTCAACATTTATCTAATCTAACCTCAAAAAATTTAAGCTAGTTTATATTTACACAATACTCACACTTTTCTTTATGTGTTTTAATTCGCAGACGCATTGCCTCGTTCAAAGTGGACGACTGCACTGTCTCCACCTTCGAGCTGTATCTTACGCTGAAACAAGACAAGAGCGGCTGGACTTCGCTGTTACCGCAGTTCATCAAGTATGTAGCCTGTCTTCACTATTTCCAACGCTTCGTGCATTTTAACTGTACACGTGTTTATTGTAAATTTTAACACAACACTTTTGCTTTCATTGCAGAAATCTAACACGCAGCAATACCATTTTGATAAGCCCCGATTTCACATTGACCAAGAACAAGCTCTACTCCTGCGATTAGTGCGCGTAAGCGGGCTTGTTGCAGCTTGTTCCAGTTGCGGTTGCTTGCGCGAGGAGAATTCTTATTTTTTAATATGTATGCATACATTACCTATCCAGAGATCTCATTTATGCTCCTTCGCGCAAACACACGACAAATTTACAACAAAAAGGTGGTGAAAATACACAACAAAATGGCAGGACTTGGAACGAAGGGCATCAGAAATTGGTCAATTGCGTATTATTAGCAAATTTATGTGCTATACATACATACATACACACATACATATATGTTTTTTTTTGTTTTTTTTTTTGTAATAATTAAATGGGCGTGGCTTTAACTACAACTAAAAAGAAGAAAACATCAAACAATTACTACAACAAAAGCAGGAACAACGCATAACGAGAATACTTTACTTTCTCAACAATCCCTCCGAATTTCATTATTTTAACTGAACACCACAAAACAAAGTAAGAAGAAGTCGAAAGAGGCAATAACAAAAAGCAAAATGGTAAAACGTTTACATAACGGAAAGAATGAGGAGTTAGCAGTGATTGAGAAAGTGAGCAAGCAAAGCGCGTAGTTTGCTAAAGTTTTCACAACAAATCCCAAAAGATGTAATAAACTTGGAACACACACGATTTTCTTTATGCTACAACAACAAATACATAGAGCAACAATTACGCAGTAAAAACAACAATAACAACGGTTACAAACAAAACTACAATAAAATGCAATAAATGCAAATGAAAATGTACCGAAAAGAATTACAATAATAGCAGCAACAACATTTCAAAGCAGCGTTAAACAATAGAAATATCAGCAGCAGCAACAACACACTGCATATGCAGTTAACAGAAGCTTAATTTGGACTGAAAACTTAAAAAGCAAAGCAAATCGAAGCAGTGGCAGGCGGTGCGGCTAACGCAGCAAAAGCATTATTTGGAGTTGCAATGCAGACAAATTACATATATTCGTGTTCGTAGCATTAGTGCAGGCCTACATACACACATACATCCATAAAAACAAAAAACAAACAAACAAAAAAGCATGTGCATAAACGGTGCACAGCCGCTGACAAAGTAAGCCGAGAAGCAGTCAAATTAGTGGCTACTATTTTTGGAAGACTGCATTCGTTTAGGGGAAGCAAGATAATATTTGTAATTTATAAAAAAAAAAAATATTAAAACAAAAACACAAACAAAAAAATATTATAACAAAAACAAAATCAACAAGTATAACAAAGCAACGGACGCCTATGGCCGCGTCCAACACTGTATTTATGGTAGTATTACGTGAACAACAACAACAAACATACAAACAAAAGGCCTGCAGTAGAGCAGGCTAGAAAACAAACTGTTTAACTTATTTCCTTTTTCTATGCAATGAAAACATTTAATGGCGATTTTTTCAAAAAACAAAACAAAAACAAAAAACTTACAAAAATTTTGAAAAAAAAAAATCAAAAAGCAAATAAGAAACTCTTAAAACTTTAAGAAAATGCGAAGCAAAAACGCAAAAACAAAGTCGATGTGATATTAATTAATGATAACTAATTCGTAGTAAGAGAGAAACAAATTAATATTAAATTAAATTAAATTAAATTAAAGAAAAAACATAAAAAACATTGGTATAAACACAAATTACAAATTTTTGTTATTATTAAAAAATTTTTTTTTTATTTGGCCACAAGCAAACATTTCAGTAGTAGTTTCAAAGTTTATAAAACAACAACAATAAAAATAATGTGAGCGCTGGAAGTGTTGCAGCTGAGTTGTGCAGCAGTTAGACAGCAAGCATAAACAAGTGTAGTAGCAGCAGCAGCAGCAGCAGAAAAGTGCAGTAGTCGCCAAAGTTCATAATGCTGCCGACGCATGCAAGAGCAACACTTGTAGTGAGTTTGTATACTAACATAAAGTAGTGGTTTAGTGCAGCGGTTGGTTGTTGAGTTGCTGTGTCTTAAAATTCTATTTTTTATTTGCGTTTACTTTTATTATTATTAACAGGTTTTTGTAAAGAAAAGTTTGTCAAAAATATTTTTAAAAAATTTAATGTTTTTGAAAACTTAAAAGTTTAATATTTTTATAAGATTAAAAAATTTAATATTTTTATAAAACTAAAAATTTAATATTTTTATAAAA